ATTATTTAATATGCAGAGTGTTTCCGAACGTGGCATCCAAATTTGTAGGGGTGGTAGTTCGCATAATTTGAGAGCGATTGGCAGATTTCATTTTTCTAAAAAAATTATAATAAACAAAATAGAGCCATTATAAAAAAATCAAAGAGCAGGTCCTACCCTGAGCGCGCAGCGCAATATTCCTCAAAAACAGAGATGCGATTTGCAATTTTGTCGATTCTAAGCGTAGCGCGCGCGAGTCGAGGCGTTACCATAGCCTAAAGAATAATATAGCCCCGACACTCTCTATCGGCGCCTTTGATATCTGCGAGACCATTTCTCTAAACGGTAGTGGGGACCGCACGAATTATTCGGTCTTGACGTACAGTAAGCAGGCGACGAAACATGCATGGGCCGTATTTGGAAAATATAATATTTTAAATGTATATATTTAAGACTAAAATGTCATATTTATAAAAAAAATAAAACGCAAATAAATATTAAATAGTTTATATTTAAAACATGCAAATGGCAAATATTATAAATATTATCCTGTTATATTTTATCAAACTAAAATTGAGTTAAACGTTTACTTATTCGGTAACAAACCTACTCCCTGTTATATTATATAAAATGGCTTTACAAATGTTTCCAAATAATAAGTGTGCGGTTCCTGTTCGCCTGTTTAAAATTTTTATTGATATCTTTTATTGTATAATATATTCTTACATGCGCATATAACCTCATAAGGTAAAAACGTGGAAACTGCAGACAAGGATGGTAAAATTTTATTTTTTCAAACTCTTTTACGAATTCACTAACAATATTATGTTTAGTGGAAAAAAACTCAAATTTTTCCTGAAAAACGGCTCCCATCGAAGAAACAAAGTACAGAAACTCAGTATTGGGCATGCGTAAACCACCAAACAAATGTGTGACACTATGATAGTACGCTCGATAATAAGAGTAAAACGATGAATCATCTAGGTCTTTAAATTGTGTTCCATAATTTAAACATATCGAACATTCGTGTTTGGCCAAGCATTTCTTTATTAAATAACCGGAGATATACCTAAAAAAATTTTTCTGTAAATTATCGCATGTTTTATAGTCATTTTCAATAGTGTCCTGAGATTTGACAGATTTGTCACTCTCAGTTGTCGATTCAGTTTCGTTTTGGTTATTTGGTATGTCAGCTGCTCTAATAATAATTTTTGCAGCATCCTCTTCACAATTCTCGGTTCCTGAATTGATTATTTTCATGCAGAATAACTTTCGAAAAGATCGGATAAATTGAATTGGAGTTGGGTTGACACAATTTCCATTTTGCTGCCTAACTGACCCAAAAAAAATTTCTAAGCAGTCTTGCTGCGTTCTCCTGGTAAATAAAAATTGCATGCCTTCATTAGATACGATATCCCATAGTTCTAAGGTAGCGTTAACAGCTATTTTCCATCCTTCACCGCAAAGTATTCCATTAATAGACGAATGTTTTAAATTTTTAACCAAATCATCTCTGCCCGCTGCAATAGCCCATGTTCGTGCTCTATGGCAATAATTATACTTGTTAAAATTCATGTTTTTTTATTCAATACTTTATTTACATCTTACCTATTCTCGTCCTTAGGAAAGAGAAAGAAACTATATTTACTATTATTGTAATTGTTTATGCAACCAACCGCTGCGCAACTCTGTCTTCCTTTGCCCATTTCAAACAAACACATATAAATATACAAAATTAAATCATACGCTACTACACGTTATAAACTTTACCCAATAAAACTTTTAAAATCGCAAAAATTGTCCTTAGTTCGGCCCAGATAAGAATCGAAATAACTGCTGTGCACACCTCAACAGGCAACCGCTAACTGGCCGTCTCTTCACTGACTTCACGGAGAAAACCCAATCTCGTTGCTTCGCCATAGAGGTTGAGTGTCGCGGCTATATTATTCTTTAGGCTATGGCGTTACTATCGCTGGGCAGGACCGTACCTGTTTATAATTTTTAATTAGTTTTTAATTATTTTTATTTTAAATATTTTGGAAAAATGAAATCTGCGAATCGGTCTCAAATTATGCGAACTACCTCCCCTATAAATTTGGACGCCAAGTTCGGAATATACACATGCAATAAGAAAATTAACAATACATAAACACAAACTTTAAAACAAAATAAATTTTTTCAGTAATTTTTTAAAGATTTCTAGAGATTTATTTTTACATTGATCAGGTAGAGAGTTATATATAGTGACTGAATTGTATGAGAAAGATCTCTTATAGAGAATTGTTCTATGTTTAGGTATAACAAGAAGGCTAGTATTTCGGTCATGAACATTCGAGCTAAATGTCAATTTTTCCTAAGGTATGCTAGATCATTATTTCTCAGCAGTTTGTGTACAAAGGAGGCCATATGAAGTTTTCGTCTGTTAAACATATTAATTATCAATTTGTTTGAAACATGATCTCTAGATGTTAATGAAAAAATGAGCCTAACGCACGAGTTTTGAATTCTCTGTAGCCTCGCCGACGAGTCTACATCTAAACATGGCCCATAAACAAAATCAGCATAATTGGTATGACTTAATATTAACGTCTCACAGAGTTGTATTTATAGAGATGCATTCAAAAAAGATCTGCTTGGATATAGATTTTTTAAAGAGCAATAACATTTTTGGACAATGGACCTATCTAACTTGTTCCTTAAATCTCAATTTAGTGTCGATGTAAATTCCCAAACTTTGGACTAAGTTACATGGCTTAACTACCACATTACCAATTTCGATATTCAAATTATCTTTTATAACTTTGGTAACATTACCAAAGCATATTGCTTGAGTTTTTGCCGGATATATTTTTAGCCCATGTTTAACTGAATACTCGAATATATTAGACAGAGTCTGATTTATCTCTAAGCGAGCATTACCCAATTCATTAACTAAGAAACTCTTGTAAATTTGAGTATCATCAGCAAATTGATCTATTGTACAGTTCACAGCATTATTGTTAAGATCCATTGTATATATAAGATAAAGAAGAGGTCCAAGAATTGAGCCCTGTGGCACACCTTTGTCAATCATTCTTGTGCTAGATTCATTATTGTCTATAGTCACATATTGGCATCTATGCGATAGTTTTAACAATCCTACAGAATAACCATAATAATTCGGTTTGGCTAAAAGTAATTCTCTGCCTAAGGTATCAAATGCCTTACTGTAATCCAACAAAATTAGTGTAGTAATTTTCCCCTTATCCACTGCATGTATTATGTCATCCAGCATTTTAGTTAGTGCAGTTCCCGTACTATGTGAAGTTTTAAACCCAGATTGATTTTCGGCAAATAAATTGTGATCTGATAAATATTGTACCATCTGTGAATAAATTAATTTTTCCAAAATTTTGGATAAGACTGACAACTTACTAATAGATCTCAACTGATTGGTTTCTTTAGGATTTGCTACTTTAGGCAAAGGGACTATTCATGCCACTCTCCAATTAATAGGAAAATAACCTTCTGTCAAACAACAGTTGTAAATGTGTGTTAAATGAGGCAAAATATGTCGACAGCAAAGTTTTACCATATCTAAAGTTATACCATTCGAATCTGCTGAATTAGATTTAATATTTCCTATTGCATTTAAAACATTCTTTTCCAAACCAGTTTGTAAATTGAAACTCGGGCCATTTGAGACTCTATGTATATAGAATTTACCATTAAAAAAAACGCGATTCCTTGCTGACTTTAAAGTTTTTACTAAGAGCAAATATCCCACATCTTTAGGCTATTTTTAGAATAAATAAATATTTTTAAAATATTATAAAACTTTATTAAAAAAATCGCTGTTTTTAAAAAATCGGCTCTTTTTTAAAAAGTCGCTATATTATAGTAGAGCGCCCCCTATTTTTCAAAGATAGCAAATTTTATTGAAATGTTTAATATATTTCAATAGCCTAAAAATGAGATGTATTTAGTTTTAGAAAAACCTTTAAAATTATGCTTTGCTGGGTTTTTTCTAAGCTAGCAAAGCACCACATATTTTTTAAAAATAACAATTTTTTTAAATGTTTTATATAGTTTCAAAAGCCTAAGAATGTGGCATAGTTGCTTTGAGAAAAACCCTTTAAAAATCCAAAGTTTTCAAATCACACCGTATTTAAAAAAGAGCAATTTTTTTAAAAAGTCATAGAGTCTAAAAACGTGGTGTGGTTGTTTTTATAAAACCGATGTACTAGTAAAGCATCCAGTATATTTTTGTTTTTTGAAAAATACTAAGTTTTTCCAAACATTTTTATAATTTTTCAAGAGCCTTAAAATGGCCCAAAAATGTGGCATAAGTAGTTGTTTTCTGGAAAAAAAACTGAGGTGTTCTGCTGATTTTGTTCCAACAAAGCACCCTGGATTATTTAAAAATAGTCATTTTTTTTGGTAAAAATGGGGTGTGGTTGTTTTTAGAAAAAAAAAAAAAGTGATGTGCTCTGCTGGCTTTGTTCGAAGCTAGCAAAGCACCCTGTAATATTTTAACAGCCTAAAAATTTAGTGTTGGTAAAAAAAACTTTAAAAAACTTGGGTGGTCTGCTGACCTTGCTCGAATCTAGCAGAGCACCTCGATTTTTGCAATAAACGAGGAGCATAACATTTTTGAATAGGGTATAAAAATATCTTAAAAAATATGACATAGGTTTCAGCTCAAAATTGCCTGTGCTCTGCTGCCTTCTTTGGCATGGGGTTGCTATTTTTTGTTGTCGAGTTCTCCCTTCTTATGCTAGAAACTGTTTTGAGCATTTTCTGATATCATGATATATAGCCATTGTAAGTTTTTAAATAGTCACCCATATGTGATGATTACAAAAGACAGATTATGTTTAAAATCAAGCACTCTTGGATTGTAACCACCAAACCATGATTTAATGCACATTTTTTATTTAATTATCTCAATTAATTTGTTTTCATTTTCACATTTAGATTAATTGGCATCTAAATCTCCACCATTATAAATACTGATTCCATTTTATTTTTAATTTTTACAGCTCGCCAAGCAAAAAATAATTCAAGCTTAAAAGTTGTAACTGATTCGTCTGGGGGTACATCTCCGTACATATTTTCCCCTTGTAGCGAATTAAGTCCAGACGTTGTAAACGATAGTAGAAGCTTACCCCCGCTAGCGCCACTCGAAATGCCAAATTTCGATTTTTTAAGCTTTATCAAAAGTAATAGTACTAATAATAATAATACTGAAAATAGTCAATAGAGCTGTACCTAATCTTAGTTTGACTGAATTATGTTTAATATGCTATGTATTTCGTAAATTGTTTAATTTCCTTTCGAAGTTTTGGGTCTTTTCTTTATTTGTTTAAAACTTTTCGTCTTTTGTGAAAATAAAAAAGTGAAGTCCAAAACATTGAAAAAACGGGTTTTTAAAACATTTGAAAATTATTCCAATTGCCTTCGAAATATAGTAAAATTCTTCATAATAAGACTTAAAGTAATCCGCATAATTGCAAACTATAACATTTTCAACATAATTTCTTTTGTAAAATACAAACTTTTTTGCGAATCAGTCAAAATAAAAATTCTTCCTCTTTTTGGACTTCTTGGTTTGAATTTCACGAACTTATCTTGAAAGAAGCTTTATCTAGCATAATACCTCCTATTTTTAGTGATATTTCTCCAAATCATAATTCCAAATTTTCATCAGGTCATTATTAATTTTGACCCTGGATAAACTGTTTTACCATTATGCGGATTTCCTGAAGAGCCCCATTATGATGAAATCTACTATATTGCGAAAGGAATAATACTAAATTCAATATAACCACTAAACGAAAAAACTAGCATTTGGCAATTCGTAAGAATGAAAGATTTTAATATAAGTTAGAATTGAGTGTTTCACATAGTTGTTTTAAGGTACTTTTGGGTTTTTATATGAATCATAAATTTTTCTGTTGTAAATATTATTTTTCTAATTTCTAAATTGTAAATACCAAAATATTTTTGAATTTTGAATTCTACAAATAAATATATGGTACCTCAATCCAATCTTACTTTATCATTGATTTAAAATATATTAAATTTTATCTCTTTATATAGTTTTAAATAATTACCGTAAAATGAGTTTACTTTGCTCCAATTTAAGCATGAGGTTTAGAAACTGTTCCAAATAAATTGGAAGGAAAACACAAAAGATTTTGCTATTTAGGCTACATATACAAAATAGCTTACATTTACATATTTTATCAGTATTGAAACTAAAAACAAATGGAAACTATTTTTATTTTTACTTTTTTAGTGGAGCAAAGTATACCAATGGACGGGGGGTACTTTGCGCCACATTCAAAAACACATTATAACTAATGCTAAAACATCAGAGGAGCAAAATAGTAATAGGTTTTGTTGAACTTTTCTCCATTAATAAAGCAACATTTTTGCTGAATAAACATATATGTAATTACATAAATAAACAAAATTCAGTACAAAATATAAAAAACAAAAAAAAAACACTGAAAAACAAATAAAATTGGGGGTTTACATAATTAAAAGTAATTTTATTATTGCCACCAGGTTTTTAATTCGGGAACATCGTAAAAACCTCTTTTTGACATTTGTCTTGGTGGATTTATAGAGCCTAAAACATCATCCCAAGAATAACCCATTTGATCCTTTTTTTGCGGCCATTTCCACGCCTTCAAAAATTTCTCTATCATTTATTATGACTTCTTTGTTGTCAAAGGCAATAATTTGTCCTGGAAATTGTTTATTATCATATTCAAAAACAATAAACGTTCCCACTTCACGCACGACATTCCAAATTGAATATCTGGGGTAGTATTCTCGAATACCGACATTCGCATACGTGTTTTACAATGTGTCTCACTTTGTTAAACGAAAACCAAGTGAGACAAATCATAAATCTCGCATGCGAATCTATATTCGTGACTCGAGAATACTACCCCTGGCTTTAAAGTTTTCTTGCTATTTACGTATTCAACAAACTGGCGTTCTCTGTTCCTTTCTTCATCCAGTTCAACGAAATCAATGTCGCTTGAAGAATCGTCATTGTACTGTAACGAGGAATCGTTTTTATTAGTGACAAACGTACTAGGCTCATTGAAATTACTAGCAGTTTCTTCGTGAGGTGCAGTTTCTTCCTGAGATGATTGCAAAGGCTTTTTCCAGCCGGAATGTTATTTTTTTTTCTGCGTACTATTCTGGTAGGCTTTGTAGATTCCAATCTTCTATCAACAAGTTTTTGTAGGAAAGCAGAGTGAACGTAATTTGAATTAGAATCCAGATCGCTTTTTGGTATGCGATCTAAAAGTTCGTTTACATTTACTGGCACAATGCCACCCTTGCGAAAACATGATTTTAAATTGTCTGCTACACTTGTTTCAATAATAGCCAGCATTTTCTTTAATAGCGGTGGAAAGTTTTGTTTCTAGATATTGGTATGGTGCATTCCTTCCTCCGTGTCCTTCCATTCTGAAAACTTACCTCCATGCTATTTTTAAAGGTCTAACGCCACATCGAGGGGTTGCGTTAAATGAGTACTGTTGGGTGGTAAGCAAATTAAATTTATTTGGTTCTCACGGCAAAGCCTCAAGGCGTGAACGGTAATATGGGATGAAAGATTATCACATAGCAATATTTTTTTCCTGACAGTTTTCTAAATCTTGGCACAATTTGACTTTCAAGCCAATCAGTGAATATGGCCGCATCAAACCACTCACTTTTGGTAGCATTATATCGACATCCCTTTGAGCCGTTCTCCGTCCATGTTGTCCACATATGACTTGCTCTGTAAACCACATACGGAGGAAGGAGTTCCCCAGAAGCACTTCCACAAAACATTACAGAAATCGAAGTTTTGGAAGCATTACGAATGGTCTCAGGGTACTTACACCCTTTTTTGACAATAACTTTTTTTACCAGGATCATCCGTCAAATTAGTTTCACCGAAATTCCAAATATTTTCCACAGGAACATCTTCTAATTCTTGGCCCTTGCCCTTGTAGGAAACATTTAACCCATTCACGACCAGGATAGTTATCTTTAAATTTTTTTATTTGTCTTCCACATTGATTCAAATAATTTTTTATAATATGTCGCAATTCTGTTAAATTTACTGGAAATCCAAACTCTGCCATTGATATTATGCAGTTTGTGAATTCATTTTCTTCGTAACTACTAAATACAGGTTATTTGCCTGGTCTGTTTTCATGTTTGCCCTTTATTTTGTTATATATTGTCCTCCTGGGAATCTTGTATTTTTCCGCTGCTTTTCTCTGCGATATTCGTCCACTTCTAATTTCTTTCAAATATTCCTGCAATGTTTCATTTGAATAATCGCTATACGTCCTTGAACCCAATTTTCTTTTGTAGTTTCTTGGAATGTCTACAAGAAATAAAAAACAAATATCTCCAACAAATGTGGGGTTACTTTGCTCCACTAAAAACTTGGAGCAAAGTAACCCCAGAAACCGTTATAAACAATACGTGTTATTGAAAATATATTTTATTAAAAAACATTCACTGTTGGGTTCTAATTAACAGTGCTGTTCCTGAAGTGGCGCTGGGAAACAGTAACAAAGCCTACACAGAACACACATGAATGAGAATTTAAAAAGCACAAACTTGAGACTGGCATATTAAGTGTATACACCTATGTCATAAATCAAAAAAAAAAAAATGTATTGTTAGAAATTTCAACAGTGTAACAATAAGAATACGCTATAAAACAATTTTGCAAATACTTACTTGATTATGACTGATAACTACTTCCACACACAGATTTTTAGGAGCCAAAAATAGGTGACAATTAGACCTTGTTGCTTTGGTTGAAGTTATGAGCTTCTTTATAAGTTAAAACTAAATCCTGAGATTGTAAGTTGTAATCTCGTAGGAAACCAGCAATAAACCGGTGTGGTTTCGGTTGCATACAGAACGTGACCAAAGATTTAAATTTTCAATCTTTATCCAGGGTCTGGGGCAAAATAATCCCTTAAGGGACAAAGTAACCTCATTTTACAGTATTGTAAAGAAATTTTCAATTTGCACTATTTTTTTTATTCCAATATATTGTTTTGATAATTAAATTTTAAGACATAATTATTATTCTTTTACTTCGGTCAATTTTGTTTTTATTTTGAAACTAAAAAGTTTTATGTTGGTTACTTAAGTACAAATTAAATGTAACTATTAACATATATTATCGTATGTTGGCATATTTTAGTGATTATACTATTTAAGCTATAGTTACAAGATATAAAATGTTTTTAATGTTAATAAAAACCATAAATATGGTTCACTATTATACATTTTTAAAATTTATTATAATTAAATAAAACATTGTTATGTAAAAATAGATCATAATGCAGAATCGAAAATAAAATATTTATGAATCTAAACATCAGGAGCGAAAGAGAATACATTAAGTGAAGCAACAATATTATAATCATGTTATCCTAACTAAAAATATAAGAGAATGCTAGACCACTTTAATGGACAAGTTATCCCATTCCTTTTGACATGTGACTAAATTTGTTTAATTTGAAAATATCTCCAAGAACTCACCGAACAAATTTATATAAAAAAAAGGTTTCACCTCCAAGATTAAATTTATTATTCTGCAAATTCAAATATTATTTACTCATGTCGAAAATTATGAAAAAACTAAACTCGTAAATCGTTCTCTTTAAGTTGTTCTCTAAGGCTTTCTCTTTGGCTCTTTAAAATTCGCACATATATTTCCGATTATGTTGTATAACCTAAAAATGCATTATTTGTATTTTATTTGCTGGTGAATTACTTTTTTATTAGTCCCACAATTAATTGGTCTGAAAAGGTCAAACTCTTTCAACTAGTTTCTTGAATAGGTCGTTTTTTTAAAAAGATAAAAAAATTGTAATAAATCAAAATGAGTACAAAACATAGTTAATAAAAGTATTACAAAGCTCACGGAATTTATATTTTGTTAATAAATTATTTGTCATCTTTAGGAAATGATCTCAATGGTTAATTTTTGTTTATTTATCTTTAAAATGTAGTCTATACTAAATAGAAAAGATTTTTAATTGCTCCAATTGTTTAAACACAACAAAATTCACTTTTTCTCTAAATATTGAATGTATTACTAATTTATTTGTTATTTTCTAGAAGTGTACTGATTGTTGATACAAATAAAATATTTATGTGTTATTTTTTAATTGTATTGTTTTTCTTTAATGTGTTTATTTAATTATTCCCCATTTCCATAGAGGCCATACAGCTTTGTAGGCGTTGTCGTTTACAGACTGGTCCAAGAAAACATCAAATGTGCATTCAGTAAGTGTTTCAAATGTGAAAAATTCATGATAATCACTTCATGTGCGAAGACGATTGACATAAGTAGGCAGTGGCGGCTTTTGATAATTTAAAATGGGGGTTCAATTTTTTCCAATAATTTTAGCATTTGTAAAACTTTCTACAAGAGCCAATATCCCTCAAAACTTGATAACATCACTTAGACTTAGATGGTCCCAACTGATCTAACAGGATATTAATCTGTGTGTAATTTTATTAAAGAATAAACTTGCAAATTCCATTTAAAGTACAGTATAAAAAATTCCTGTCAGAAAAATTTAAAAAATCTTAAATTACCTTGTAATACAAAATTAGTATCATTTAATGTAACCAACTTATTAGATCGTAATCAAAGAAGAAATCCTTAATTTGTTAATTATTTGCTTAAAAGAAAATTATCATCAATTTAAAAATAACATCTACTCAGCAGATGAGAAGGTCTTATCACGGGAACTCGTTAAGACCATTGCTTGCAGAAATATTTATGGATAATATTGAACATAAAATTCAAGGCAATCATTTAAAATATCGCTATTATGGCATAGATGTGTTGACGGCATTTGGGATATTTTATCATCATACTGATATTACTATACATAATAGTTTTATATAACAGGCTGTCGCATGTTAGCAAATTTTGTTAATACATTTTCTTAATATCTCTTACAACAACGATAATATCGAAATTTTCCACAAGATTGGTCGTACGTATATACGACTTAGGGAAATATTTGTTTTATTTAATTATATGGTCGAATTCACCCCATGGGTTGATCTAACTTACCCCAGCAGTAGGGAATATTCATCAACATGCAGGTTTGTTAAAATTCGTAAAAATTAATGATTTACAAATAACTATTTCAGTTTCATTGCTACCGAATCTTCCATATTGTTCTGTGAGTTGGCTCATATAGTCTCGGAAATACCCCAAGTCCATTCGCTTTCTTTATTGTTTAAATGTAAAATGGATGAAACAAAAAGTTACTAGATTTTGGCATGTCGTAGATTAATTACATCATGTTATTATCAATGAAGTGGAGAGGGGTAGAATGATAACTGTCAATAAAAAGTATAGACACTATACACAATTTTGTTTTGCCCATTTTGTAAACAAGATTCAGGGACGGTTTGAGAACATTTTGTGCAACAATTATAAAATGCACAAATATAAGCAAGCCAATAAAGAACTGATGTCCAAAAAGCTTACAACAGCCACAACATAAACAAAATACAAAGCTGAACACAGGGCCGGCCCTAGACATTTTGGCGCTCCGGGCAAAACCTTAGCCCCCCCCCCCCCCCCCCCCGTTTTTTTAAGTAAATCTCATGCGACCATATCAGAAAGTCAAGAAAACATTGAAAAAAAGTTTTATTAAAAAACTCAATCATCAGATAACAAGATAATCAATTTAGCACTTAAGGCAAAATAACAAAAATTAAAATGTAGTAATGCTAACTAAACTAATATCCCATATTATAAATAAATTCTAAATAACCAAAGTAATTAAAATGCCCTTTTTCTAACTTTTCTTTCGGCAAACTCACGAACCAGTGATTTCAAGTCTAATTTGTCACTAATTTGGTGTTCTGTAGCTATCATTACTAATCCATTGAGACGATTTTGCGTCTTAATTTTACGAATGTTCTGGGTATACACGAGACATTCGGTTCGGCCCCGGCTTGCCTCATACGCGTACGTGCGATCTGTACCCGCCTTTAGCGGTACACCAAAGGGAGGCAGTACGCAGTATGTGCTCAGTCTGGACGGGGAATTTGTTCCATATAGCGTTGAACAGATTAAAGCGAGTTTTCAAGATTTATTTTTCATGAAGTGAAATGGGGAAAATGTTTTGCTTCTTCTGGATTTATATAATCGGCGAGATATCACCCAGACAGCACACCAAATCCTTTGGATATCTACCGAACATCCCAATATCCACTGAATGTCCAGTCCATGGTGGATATCTATTTTATATCCATGAAATGTAATTTATAGACATGCAAATGTCCATAAATAATAGTAATTATATAGCAAATTATTAAAAAATTACCCCATTGTGGCTAATAGTACCGTTCAGATATTTAAAATTAATTTTTTTAATGTTTTTTTATCAATATCCCATGGACATCCACTAAATATATCAAAGTCTAAGCGCGGACGCAAATCATCGTGGATATCCACTAGATGTAATTTTTTATTTTGCTTCCTAAGTATAGATGGCGATACCACTTTCGTATCTACTCATGCTCAACCCGCCGTAATTGAGTTCGATTTTTTTTTTCACAATCAGACTCCATTAGAGACTGGAGTCGAGAATTTCCATTTATTGCTGAAGAGTCCTAAATCCTTATTAGGACTCTCCTTTCTCCTTAGTGCCCTTAGTGGGCAAAATCAAAGGCAGATTGTTGGAAATATTTTTTATCTCTATTTTCTTTCGACGTTATTCAATAATCATTGGTTACTTATAAACCTCTACTAAAGATACGTATAAAATATTTTGCTGAATATCTGAATTCTATATCCTGGGATATAGACGGACATTTGGTTGGATATCCACAAA